AATAATCATCGTGACAGTGTTGGCTTATCCATCATATAATAATTTCGCTTGTCCTATGAGCCGTACTTTTTCAGCGAAGGAACAGTATTTTTCTCTCACAACAAATCAGTGAACAATACTTTTCAGCTTGTCTTTTCAGCAAAGCGAACAGGGCAGCATTGCTTCTGCATCAGCTTCGAAGGGGCCCATGGGACCTGTGTTTAGCAGTTTGATGTACCAGGAAGACGAAGGAAATGATTCGTAAGTGGTGTTTACCTCATGGGTGTCTTCTCCAGAAGTTTTTATGCTACAAATGTTACCTACCTTGGACTACTGTTTTTAATTGGAACAAACTTAAATGTATATGCAGAGAGCTTGGTGACATCCATGTTTCAGCGAGGGAAGGAGCAACAGATGACATAGTGAAGCTTCTGGCAGCTGGTGTGGAAGTCAACGTGAGAGGTTTGTGTCAAACTATAAACCATCTAATGCTTATGTTATGTTTATAAGCATAATTCATTCAAACATGGTTTGTATATGGTATCTTCAGATACTGAAGGTAGAACTCCGTTTCACTGGGCTGTTGATCGTGGCCATCTTAGTGCTGTTGAGGTTCTTGCAAAAGCAAATGCAGATCTGAATGCTAAGGTAAATTGGAATTATTGTATACTTATTGTGTTCTACTATTCATGGCAGATTTATTTGATGAGTAACATGGAGCAATAGGTGTTAGTCTAATCATATAGCTGAAAATGAAGTGCATTCGGTTGTTTGCATATTAAACTACATTAAATAGAAAACATGTTGTCTATGCTCATTATGACACGTGATTGATTGCTGTCAGTAGTTCAGCATACCATGGCACCATAGAGCTTCAAAGTTCAGCCACAATCTTTTGGGCCATTAGGTTTAACCTAATGGACTGAACTTAACTGTCTTTAAGTTCGATCTTTTGTGTTGTGTTAAATTAATTTTTTAAGCGAGTGGGGAATATATCAGCAGGTGGGTAGCAGGGTTTTGCGCTATTGTTTGAATAATAGTAGGTCTAGACAAGTTAGAATGCTTTAATTTGTCTACACTGACATTTCCCCTGTTGCTTTAGACTGTGTTACTTTCGAGTAGGCGTCATTGGATATGGCTATTTTATTCTCTTCAGCGGGTTAACTGTATTGGGAAAAAAATGCTAAAACATGATCAAACATTTTTTATATTTTTAGATGTTGTTGATTGAATCTTTCTATTACCATGACACAACTCTGCAAGTACCATACCATTTATATCTGTAAAGACAATAGTTCACAATGTCATCAAGTCTGGTACACCAGAAAGGAATTAAGTAGAAAAAAATGGCTTTCATGTTAAGACTATGATCTTCTCTCGATATGTAAATGAAGTTTATAATTTATTATTGGAAACGCAAGCATTGGCTGATCTTTAATGTGAGCTTTTACATGCTACCTTAGCTATCTATCTCCAAATTGGTTCGAAATTTTGGTCCCCATGCTAAAAGATTTTCTGCCTTGAATTTGTTGTGCTTTTACACGCTACCTTAGCTATCTATCTCCATATTGGTAATCTGCAGACATATGACCTTTTTGATCTGAATGGTCTTGTTTTGTATGAAAAAAATAATTCTAAATTTCTACATGCTAGCAGATGCCCTTGATGTCCTGTCCTAAAGCATATTCGACCCTGGGAGATGCTAGCAAGTGGTGAATTTCAGGTGCTCAAATATCATCACTGGGCTCAGTTAGTTCAGAAATATCAGCTTAGTTAGCAAGTTGATTATAGATTAGCAGTTGAGTTTGTTAGTTAGCAGATGAGTTTGTTCAGAGATTGTTGCATGTAACCGAGGCTACCGAGCATGTCTGTATGGCTCCCATTCAAGATCTGGAGGTTTAATGGACATTCAAGTATGAAGTTTCAGTGCCTAAATTGCTGTCACACGGACACAAGTAGAATATGGTACTCCGTTGGTGATTCTAGTGATTCTTTTGACCGTCACTAGGACAGTAGGACATGGCAACATGCAGCAATGCCTGCCCAATGCTTTGAAAGTAACCTGGTAATGGGTATGGATTATCCAATGTCCAATTGCACCATTTCATTGTGGATTTCACTGGATTGGACTTACTCTGGATGCGGATGTCCGTGTGCTTAGTATCCAAACTAAATTTGGACATTGGACTACGAGTGGGTGAGATTATGTATGGATCTCCAAGGATATGACACCATGGCAACTACGTACCGGAGCCATGCCATTACTCGCTTGCTGCTCTCCCCCGCACAGTGCTACAGTGCTAATTCAACATCAGCGGTCTTTGACGTCGAGGCTGCGGGCGCCGGCGCTGGTGCTCATCACTTGCCGCATGCCTCGCCGCCATTGAGCAGCAAAAACTGGCGTCGTCCTCCGCGCGGAGTCCGGCGGCACTGCCGCGGCTGATGTTGGAGGACGCCTGCGCCATTTCCGAGCATCCTGTCGCCAGGGACGCTCCCCGCGATCCCGACGAACTTCTTCTCACCTCTCCGCCCGGTACCCGGGTAGAAGCAGAGCAGTTTCGGCAGGTCGCTGAGGAACGCATCCAATCCGACGAGGCGACCAGTACAGCATGCTCACCTTCCTCAAGGCTGTCATCTTCCACCAGCAAATGGAGAATTGGAGATAAGCTTCCTCCACTGCCGGGCTGCTCGCTGGCCATGCCACCGGCGACGATCCATTTGTGCGAATGTCGATCTGCTCTGGTTGTGAAAGTTGACGTGGCGCCCAGGCGTCCAGCAGGAACAAGTCCGCGCACCTAGAGGAGCTCTGATCCGAGCTCGTCGTTATCATCGACGTCATCTTCTAAAGAGATTGGATAATTGGGTGGACTTTGGGTATTTTAGCTTTGGATTGGATTGTTTTGCTGTGTAGAATGGATTGGATGGACTTGGACTTCTCGTATAGTTGGATAAATTTTTTAACTTTAGTTGGATAATTTTTAACGGTAATACTACAAAGAGTACGTCCCACGCCAGCAACTACCTACGAACGGACACGTGGCGTGACACGGCACCACAACTTTATTTTTTTTATTCCCTATTCATTTTCATGTCTCTTATTCTCATTCGAATGCCGCGCCTCACTCACTGCTGCGGAGTTGTCCCACTGCGCCCCGACCCTGTGCCGCTCGCTCCTCGCTCCTCTCCCCCGCCCGTCGCGCGCCCCACTCGCACCTCGCTCATCGCTTCGGTCATGCGCCGCGTCGCCCGCTCCCTCTCGTAGCGCACGTCGCCCGCCAGGCTAAGCCAAGGCCAGTGTTGCTGGTGCTGGATGGTGGTGGTGCTCGTGAGCCACCACTGGTGCTGGTGGTGCTCGCGTGCCGCACCTCGCCGCCGGATCCCACCCCGATGACCAGAATTGACCGGCCCCAGCCTTCCTCTCCCCTATGTTGCGATGTATGTTTTAAGTGTTTCAGATGTTTCAAAAGCATGTTGCGAATGTTACATATGGATGTTGCAAAAGTAGATCGGGATGTTGTATTTTTTTCAAGTATTTTCAGTGTTATGTTGCAAGCGTTTTGAAAAAATGTTTTCAGACGTATGTTGCAACAAGTGTTTTATCTGGATGTCGCATATGTTTCGCACACATGTTGCAAGTGTTTTATCTGGATGTTGCATATGTTTCACACACATGTTGCAAGTGTTTTTATCTGAATGTCGCATATGTTTCACACATATGTTGCAACAGTATGTTTCAAATATTTTATCTAGATATTGCATATGTTTCACACACATGTTGCGGCAGTATGATTAAAATGTTACATATGTGGTCGACGTATATTGCATCGAAGTGTTTTATGTTGCAAGTGTTTATGGGGGCACGGTGAATGATGGGCGCACGCCCTAGGCGCGGGGGATGGGGCGCGACAGAGTTGGGGATCGGCGGATGGGGTGCAGCGAGCTAGGGGGCGGTTCTCGAGTCCCGCCCATGCGGAGAGAGAGGAGGGTTCCGAGGGAAGGAGCGGGGCGCAGTGACGGGGACAGGGTGCGCGTACGAGGCGGGAGCGAGGCGGACGGGGGCGGGCTGCGCGGCCGTCCATCCAGACGCAAGGAGCGGCAGGCGCAGGTCGCCAGCGGTCCCATGGGTGCGGCCCGCCGAGTGGGCACATGAAAAATAGGCACGGGTGAGGAGCGCGGAGTGCAGCCGCGTGTCGAGGAAACAAATCGGCCCATTCCACAATATTATCCGACGGATCAATGGCCCCGTTCGCTTTGCTGAAAAAACAAACCGAATTAAACATTGTTCCGGCTGATTAATTGTGAGAGAAAAATATTATTATGACTGAAAAAAAAAAGCTGAAAAGTACGGATTACGAGAGAAATAAACTAGGCCAATATCTGATCGAACGCTCGGAGGCTAGCATTTCTGATTTTTTAATCCATCACCGGGTCTATCTGAAAGTTGGACACACTTCGCTTCGGACTTCGGTACAAATGCAACTATATTATCATCTCTCATGCTCTGAAAAAAAAGAAAGACTCGATCGTGTATGATTATTTTACATCAGGTACATGAGCGCATGTTCTATATGACTCCAGAAATTTTTCTATAATAACCATCCACCCCTCCGGCCTTCCGCGAAAGAATTTTTCTTGAACAATATAATACTATAATAAACTAGTTTCGCAAAAAAAAAACCTCTAATAAATGAAACTATTGAAATTGTTTAAAAAAATAAACTATTGAAGCCCATGACGCCATCTAAATGCCGAACGCCCCTACCACCCACCAACCAATCTGACACTTGTATTACTGGCTGTCCATACACGAGCCGCCACGTGTCCTACGAATTCATAAGGTGGTTAATGCGCTCAACTACCAGCACCTAAACCCTGCCCACCTTTGCCGCCTTAAATCTCCCCCATCCCCAACCGGCCAGCCCAATCCATCCCGCAAAGAGGTCGAGCACGAGCAGCAGTAAGATCTAACTGATCTCGCGATCTGCCTCTCTAGTGTGCTCTGTAGCGCGCGCACAACGGTGATGCCTTCGGCGGCGATGACGGTGGCGGCGGGGCTGGCGACGGGGCCGGGCAGCCGCGTGACGCGGTTCGCCAAGTCGACGGCGGCGTCGGTGACGCCCGTCAGGCCGGGCAAGACGCACGCGCTGTCGCCCCTGGACAACGCCATGGAGCGGCACACGGTGCACGTGCTGCTCTACCTCCGCGCCGCGCCGGGCCTGGACCGGGAGCAGCTCAAGGAGTCGCTCTCCGAGGTGCTGTCGCTCTACCCGGCCATGACCGGCCGGCTCACGCGCAGCGAAGGCAGCGAGGGGGCTGGGGCTGCCAGCGCGGACGCCGCGCCCGCGCACCGGGGGTGGGTCGTCAAGTGCAACGACGCCGGCGTGCGCATAGTGGATGCCAGGGCCGCCGTCACGCTCGACGAGTGGCTCGCCACGGCGACCGGCGACGAGGAGATGGACCTCCTCTACTACGAGCCTATGGGGCCCGAGCCTTACATCTGGTCTCCGTTCTACGTCCAGGTACACTTGACCAACTACTTTTAATCTCATCATGGCTCTGCTTGGGCTTGTTTACCCATCAAAATTCCAAATTTTTTCACTCTCTATCACATTAATTTTTAGACAAATGCATAGAGTATTAAATGTAGGTAAAAAAATAATTAATTGCACAGTTTGGTTGTAAATCACGAGACGAATTTTTTGAGCCTAGTTAGACCATGATCGGACAAAGTTTGTCAAATACAAACGAAACGTGCTACAGTGTCCGAATTGTAAAAATTTGCAATCTAAACAAGGCCTTACCTTATTTAGATTGCAAGTTTTTTCACTCTCTCTCCATCGCATCAAATCTTTGGACACATACATGGAGTATTAAATGGAGTATTAAATGTAGATAAAAAAAATAACTAATTACACAGATTAATTGTAAATTACGAGATGAATCTTTTAAATATAGTTAGACCATGATTAGATAATAATTGTCAAATACAAATGAAAATGCTACACTATCAAATACTGATTCATGACTGGAATGTAGGCCTTGGTGAAATAATTCGGCATGCAGCAGGAGCGTTTTAGTTTGATGGCTCAGCAGTTGAGGAACAGCTGCAGAATTAAATGTCCTGTGCTCTTGTACTGTTATCCAGTTGGGGCGTCAATTGACTACGTCACATGGCTGCATCACTGATGAGTGGTGCCAGTATATGCAGAGCTGTACAGTATAGGACCAGACGCGAACCTGATACATTTTTGCATGGATACAGCTGACGGAGTTCGCTGACAAGTCGTACGCGCTGGGGCTGAGCTTTTTAGACATCCACAACGTCACCCCACCGCCGCCAGCTGCGCGAGCTTCTCTTGCTTTAAATCATTAACGCCTGGGCTGCCGCGCTTTCTTCGCCGGACCACCAGCCCGTACCCGCCCTTCCTCCACGCGCCGGCGTTGGCGGTCTCCACGAGATGAATCTTTTGAGCCTAGTCGCCGCCCCAATATTTGCCTCTAAGCTCGCCGAGAAAAAGTTTCAATCTAATTTCGCCGCCTCTCTCTATCACATCAATTTTTAGCCGCCGCCAGAGTCCTCCGCCACTAATTCCACTTCCCGGCCTCCGGTCCACGATTAAACAATATTTACCAAATAAGCGCTACTATTTATTGGGTTGAAATTTTTTGTAATCTAAACATAGCTCATTTTTGCATGGATACCTCCCAAGTCGTCGAGCCGGGCACCACCCCGTTCGCGGCGCTCGCCGCGCTCTTCTGGCTCCGGATCACCGGCGCCGCCGACGGGGAGCGGGAGCTCACGCTGGCGCTGGACTTTCGCAAGCGGATGTATGCGCCGCTGCCGTTGGGCTACTACGGCAGCTCCGTCCACTTCACGCGCGCGCGCGCTGACCTCGCGTCCGGGCTGCCCGCCGTGGCCGCGGCGCTGGACCGCCACGTCGCCGGCGTGCCCGAGGAGGAGCTGTGGCGCGCCCTGGAGTGGCTCCACGTGCGGCGGCAGCAGCCGCAGGAGGGCGACGCCGCCGCGCCGTTCCAGATGTACGGGCCGGAGCTGACGTGCGCGGCGCTGGACCACGTGCTCACGTACGGCGCGGAGTTCGTGGCCGGGGTGCCCCCGGCGCGCGTGTCGTGCCGCGTGGGCGGGGCCGCCGGCGAGGGGCTGGTGCTCGTCCTGCCCGCGGCCGAGGGCGGCGAGGCGAGGGACGTGGTGGTGACGCTGCCCGCGGAGGCGACGGCCAGGATCTGCCGCGACGCCGAGGTGCTCCGGCACGGCGCCGAGGTGGTGTTCGGGGCGAAGGCCGGAAAGGAGGAGTAGGCCCACCAGTGCCACGACGGAGCAACAAGAATCGCTGTGCTGCTGTTGCTGGTCCCCCTGAATTTAAAATCCATGCCCTTTACTTGTCTTGCAGACTCTTACTCTGTAGCCCTTCATTTGGTTTTCATGTGCCCTGTCGCCATGTGTGGATGGATGATCGCATTGCTGCCCTGCTGTTCGCAACCATGTGGAGAGTACTGGTATGTTTTAATACTTCATCTGTTTGGATTGGAAATGAAAACCAATGTCTGCACGACTGCATCCTGACTATGCGAGTGAGGCGCTAATTCGATATCCACCCCAAACCACCGTTCGCCTGGTTTGTTTGGGCTTTTGACTTATAAACCGTATTTTTTTTAAGCTAAAGAATAATATTTTTCTTTTATACTAAATCAGCCAACAACACTTTCAGCCATGGCTTATTAGCCAAATCGAAACCCAAACAAACACGACGATTGTTTGCAAGTTAAGGAACCTCTGGGCTCCCCAAACGAATCCGTTGGCGGCGGCGTTACATCGGATCGGCGGACGTGTACATATGGTCTCAAGTTTCTCATTGCATGTCGCTGGCGTCCCACATGGATCACGAAACCATTCACCTTTACCATGCATGCGCGGATCTGATCCACTGCCTCAGCACCAGCTATTCTTGGTGCGGCTTGCATGTCTGCTGATGTGTGGATGGCTTCCAACAGCTATTCTAACAACGGCACGCTCTTGCACAATGCACACAGGAAGCTCCGCCGAAAGAAAGGGATCTACAAAACAACGCTCGTCGTAGCCTTTCCACCAGTGCCGCACTGCAGAAAGCGTCCAGCAGTCTCCATGGCCGCCGCAGTCGACACCGCGGCCGTGGCGGGTGCGGGCGGGAGGCTGAGGGTGTTCTTCCTGCCCTCCTTCATCCGGGGCCACCTCATCCCGCAGACCGACCTGGCGTGCCGCGTCGCCGCGGCAAGGCCCGCGGAGGTAGAGGCGACCATGGTCGTGACGCCGGCCAACGCGGCCCTCATCGCGCCCACAGTGGCGCGCGCCGCGGCCGCCGGCCACGCCGTGCGCGTGCTCTGCTACCCGTTCCCGGACGTCGGCCTCGGGGAGGGCGTCGAGTGCCTCACCACCGCCCCCGCGCACGACGCGTGGCGTCTGTACCGCGCCATGGAGATCGTGCAGCCGTCCCACGAGTCTCTGCTTCGGGACCACCACCCCGATGCCATCGTCGCCGACGCGCCGTTCTGGTGGACCAACGAGGTCGCCGCCGAGCTCGGGGTGCCGCGCCTCACGTTCCACCCTGTCGGCATCTTCGCGCTGCTCGCCATGAACAGCCTGTTCACCATACGGTCCGACATCATCCGGACCAGCTCCGCCGCCGCTGGGACGCTGCTGTCCGTGCCGGGCTTGCCCGGGAAGGAGATCGCGATCCCGGTGTCCGAGCTCCCGAACTTCTTGGTCCAGGACGACCACCTCTCCAAGGGGTGGGAGCAGGTGAGGGCGTGCCAGATCGCTGGCTTCGGCGTCATCGTCAACACCTTCGTCGACCTAGAGCAGCCCTACTGCGAGGAGTTCAGACGCGTGGAGGCGCGCCGCGCTTACTTCGTCGGGCCCCTGGGACAGCCATCGCGCTCCACCCTGCACCGCGGCGGCGACGGCAACGTGGACTGCCTGAGCTGGTTGTCCACCAAACCGAGCCGGTCGGTAGTGTTCGTATGCTTCGGGAGCTGGCCCGACTTCTCGGTGACTCAGACCAGAGAGCTCGCCCTGGGGCTCGAGGCGTCGGACCAGCCATTCCTGTGGGTTGTCCGCTCCCATGACTGCAGCGACCAGTGGGCACCGGAGGGCTGGGAGCAGCGCGTCGCCAGCCGTGGCTTGGTCGTCCGCGGATGGGCCCCTCAGCTGGCCGTGCTGGCCCACCCGTCGGTGGGCGCGTTCGTGACGCACTGCGGTTGGAACTCGGTCCTCGAAGCCGCGTCCGCGGGCGTGCCGGTGCTCACGTGGCCACTGGTGTTCGAGCAGTTCATCAACGAGCGGCTGGTCACCGAGGTGGCCGCGTTCGGCGCGCGCGTGTGGGACGGCGGCAGGCGCAGCGAGAGGGCCGAGGATGCGGAGACCGTGCCGGCGGAGGCGATCGCGCGGGCCGTGGCCAGCTTCATGGGAGGCGGAGAGCAGCGCGACAGGTTGAAGGCCAGGGCCGAGGAACTAGCGGAGCGCGCGCGCGCCGCTGTCAGTGAGGATGGGTTGTCCTGGCGTGACATAAACCGCCTCATCGATGATCTCCTGCAGGCGAGAGCCTCAGGGTTGGCACAAGGTAATTCCGTCCAAGTTTAATTTGTTTTTGCGCATACATTGTATGTAAGGCTAGAAAAAAATAATTAAAAGATGACATTTCGGCAAGGCAGAATGTGAATGCTTCCATTTTGGGAAGGCCATGTTTTACTTGATTAAAAAAAAAGGCCATGTTTTACTCTCACAGCCCGTTTGGATCTCTAGAATTGAATTGAATCTAAATCATAGTATGCTTAGAACTAGGAATGACAATTCTAAGAAATTCCAGTGAAGCACAACACACCTAAGTAAGATTCATAGCTAAAAAATGGAAAGGCTGATGCCATCCGAGGGACCCAAACAGGCCGACAGTAATTTTTAGAACATCCTTGTCCTAACTAGTGAAATGGTCCTTGCAAATTATCCTGTTAACATACGGTTCAACCCTAGTAGGACACAATTACATTGTCCTCTTAGACTGTCTTCAACACCACCACCCAAACGCAAAATAGGTGATTCACTATGTTTTGGGTACCAAGAAACGAGTTCCAACAGAACACCCAATCAAAGGACGCATTTTGCGTACCAGCCAAATCGAAAGGCAAATAAGCGTCTCGCGAGAGAGATGACGCAAATGTCTGGCGCCGTAGTGGTGGGCCCGCGGCGAGGCGCGGCTCGCGACGGGGCGCGGCCGACTCGGCGAGGCGAGCCCACGGCGGGGAGCCGCCGGCGCTTCTAGGCGGGTCCGCGGCGGACGCGGCCGCGCGCAGCCAGGCAGGGCTGCTGCGGGGAGCCGCTGGCGTGGCGAGGAGCAGCCGGATGCGTGGCGGCGGCTTGCGCGGCCTTGTTCCCCGCGAGCAGGTCGGAGGAGACGGCGAGCGCGGTGCGCAGGCGCGGGTGGTGCGCCCCGCCGCGGCGCAAGGTCCTGGCGAAGGAGGAGGACGAGGCGCCGGCCGTCGTGTCTCGCGGCAGCGGCGTCCGGACCTCGGCAAGAGCGAAACGCGGGCGGCGCTCGGTGGGGGGCACTCGCGCTCGCGGCCACCGGCGGACGTGAGGAGCAGGCAGCGCCGTGCCGGAGGTGTGAGGCCCCAGGAACTTGGAGATGGGTGGGCGGCGGAGAGACCGAGGAAGAAGAGGGCTGATTTGCATTGTCTGTTGGACAATCTAAATTTTAGGTACAGACCATTTCTACTGTGCATGCCCTAAATTAGAGAATGGGTGTTGTGTTTATGTTCTCATTGTTGGAGACAGTCTTAGACTGGACCCACCAAGATTTTCATTCCCTGTTCACAAGACTGACATGTGTTACAAACAGTGTTAACAAGTTTCATACCCATAAGATTTTTCATCATCTCTCCCTATTTACACTATATCATATCAACTTATTTAATAATGTACATAAAACCCCTAATGAGACCGGCTTTATGTTTCACTCTAGTGTCTCACGGTCGAATATATGACTGAATGGTGTAGGCATAAATGCACCCTTGAATCAGATTGCTCCTCAATTATCAAACTTTTGAAGGAAAATAGTGGGTTGAGATCTCATCCACGATTCATAGTGAAAGAGGCGGTGGAAGCAAGTGGCCTTGTGCAGGAATGGACAATTGCCATACGAAGAGAATAGAATAGCGCGGCCCATGAACTCGCGCAATCGCCGAATAGAACATGACATTTTGTAATCTGCCGTTTTATGTGTAGAGCTTATAGTTGCTAGGGAATGTAATACTTGCTCTGAGTGATTAATAGAGCTCTTTCTTCCTCACAGAAGATATATGACAAATGTTTTTTTTATCGAAGTAGTTAGTGGTACACCACCACAATTTGCAAAAGCTATGCCTTGCTCTTATATTTGGTTAACACTACTATATTTTTAAGCAACAAACTTATCAGCTACTCTATACAAATACTAAAGAGTCAAATGATTCTTCCATTTGTCTTTTTTACTTATCAAAGTGGCTCGTGTTCTTTTGATATGTACTCCATCCGTCCCAAAATATATGTCGCTTTCGCTTTCTCGAGAAACAACTTTGACAAAATATATATTAAAAAATATTAATATTTATGATACATAATTGATATCATTGGAAAGATCTTTGTATCTAGTTTTTAATAAATTTATTTGGAGATACAAATGTTGCACATATTTTCTACAAATCGAGTCAAACTTACGGCACGAAAACCAAAAGTGACAGATAATTTGGGAAAGAGGGAGTATTTGACTTGGACTCACGACCTATGATCATACGAATTAGAACCGTGCATTTATGCATACAACAACGGTGTACATCTGACAGAGATACCTAAACCAGACACATAACATATCTGTATCTATATCTATATATCTATATAATAATAAAGGTAAAATTTCCGACTATTTTTTTGTCCATCCATTTTTTTCGTCCACCTCCCCATAACTACCGGTAGTGGAGAGTTTCTTCTGTCTATACTTATATGCCCTACATAGTTAGGACAAATAGATCTCTCCAAGCCTGAAAAAACTGAATAGGAATATATAGGAATCCTAATCCAAATCCAAATCCAAATAGATTCTTTACATTCTAAGTACCTGAATAGGAATCCTGATCTAAATATAGAAAATATAAGAATAAAAAATAGACAAATTTGTAGTCCATGCGTGGGTCACAATTTTTGGATTGAAGAAAGAGAGACCTATAGGGAAGGACATGTACACATGTTGGAGTTGGAGGGGGCTACGTGTTTTTTTCCCTTAATCAATCGGACACGGCTACACGGGTTCATAATAGTAGATTGAAAAAAATAAGATAAAAGATAATTTTAGATTGAGAAAATAGAGACCTGCATGCATACGTGATCTGGGAAGAACATGTACACATGTTGGAGTTGGAGGGGGCTACGTGTTTTTTTTCCTTAATTAATCGGACACAGGCTACACGGGTTCATAACAGACTGTTATTAACAGTATATTGCAAAAATAAGATGAAGGATGAAAGATAGATAGATATATTGATATGTTTGATTGTGTGTCGTCAAATCGGCCCGTCACCATGTATTCCTACTCCATACGGACCCAGACCTTCCACGCTCAGCGTGTTCCAAATCAACTCTTGTGGGCCGGCGTGTTGTATCGGCAGCGCTAGAGTCATGCGAAGCGGATGAGACGATGGGCAGATAGTGTAACGGAAGAGATGAAAGATGAGCTGTTGTACATAATGAGCGAGCAGATAGGATGGCTGGTGAAAAATCAATCGCTTGCGGACACCAGGATGAGATGAGAGATGAACTGCACGTGTGCCTCTTTAACGGCGCAATTCAGAGCTCTCTCGGTCACCTGGCAGCGGCTAGCGGCCAGCTTTTTGGGCAACGCTAGAAAAAGATAGGCCAAACTAACTAAACTGTGGTCCGAGTAACCATAGTCCATAGTTACGTATGCCAAAGCTTCATATCTGACGAAGAATCAATACCTTTTTTAGAATCTGAAGAATCATTACTGGTGAATTTAAGCCATCAGCTAGCATTCTTTTTTCGCCCATACTATGTGACGTAATAATTTGATGTTTTGTAGTGCATTGGATTTTATTATATGCATTTTCTCTTGTTAAAACGAAGATTATTCCAAGGCACGGAACATTTTGCTAGTCAATATAAAAAACGAATGCTAATACAGATATATAAATCCAAGTTTCAGGCTTTCAGCAGTACTACATATATTTTGATTCAAACTTTGGCGAATGTACAAGCACCCTATTACAAACCTGGCCCGGTGACTATCTAGGCACTATGCAGGCCGTACGACTCGTGATGATCCATTAGGCTGTCTAGTCGTAACGGGGATCAAATCTAAAATAGGTTTTTAATATAATACATAGAGTTTCTAATAAAGTATCTATATAAAAGATTTATTTTAAGTGTCTGGAGAAACATAACTTAAATATGAATATTTTTTTTTTGAAAACTTATTTATAGAAAGGGTTGTTTTTTTAGTTTTGTTGTTGGAAAGGTATTAAACTTTTTGTTTATAGCGTTGCTCAAAAGATAAATAGATCTTTAATTTTGGATCGTGGTCGTTGAGACAGTCTTTGTAACAGTACCATTTTTGTTTCAGAAGACATGTCCATTAGACAAGACCCCACTTGCTCTGCGCCTGCGGCGTCACGTCACATCGCACACCTCTCGTCCACGTCCACGTCCAATCTGCGCGCACGCTCCCGCGACGGCGCAGCCAACCAGCGTTCCTGTTTCCACTCTCCCGCGATCCAGTTGGTCCCCACCCCACCCGTCGCCAGCGGGTTAGGCCGAAAGCGGGAGAGCACCGGCAATAAAATACGCTCGGGAAGATGAACGGGGAGGATGGGCGGATGTTTCCAGAACTCTCGCCCGCGCCTTCGCGAAAGTTCGTCGCCACATCACGCTACCCGCCCCTGATTAAACAACGCCCCCCAGCGAAGGCCTCGCGGCCAGCTCTTCCAGAACCGTCTGGAATGTTCGGCGCCGACGCCGGCCACCCGGGGTACGTGGGGGCCTCGCGCCCGGCCGTATAAGTCGTCGTGGCGTCCCGCGTGTATTTGCCTACTGGTAAGCTCCCGGCGACGCGGTGTCGCCACCCCTCAAGGGCTCAAGTACAAAGGGAAAGCTACTTGGGAGACTACATTCCGGTCTCTGGTCCTTCACACTCTGTACGTTCATGCAGTGTTGCTCTCACTCGCTTTCTTCTTCCTCTGGTCCTCCCCTTCTCTGCCAAGCTCTGCGTCTTGCCGCTTCAGTTTCACTAATTTTTTTTCCCTTTCGATTCGCAGAGACTTCAGTTTAGAGGTTCTCTAATCGGGTCGGCTAACGTAGATAGCTAAGTCTTTGTGAGCATTTGCAGTCTAGTGACAACTTTTTTCCGTTTTCAACCAACCTTTGGTGTTTCTTGAATTCTTGTGCTCTTTTGACATTCAGGAAAGCCATTTTCAGATCGAGCTAGTTCAGCCGAGGCGTTTTTACAGCCAAAGATCGCCGTCTTTTGGACCTGCTCTTGATTCGTTCGTTTGGATTGATTGATTCGTTTCGACTTTCCTTAGCTCCCCTGCTCCGTCAAG